AGCTGAAGTATGATGCAGCTTGGAGACCCTGGGTGTGGTCCCTAAGACCCTAAAATAATAATAAATTGTCTGAAGCTGCCGGGGCAAACTCGCTGCGCCCTGGTTTAGGCTGTGGGAGCACGTGTAAAACTTTCTCCAGCGCTGCCCTCTCTTGAGAGCACCTCCGCCCGAGGTTCCTGCCTATTGGGATGGGGGAGGGATCCCCTTTCCTCCCAGATCACCCCCCACACCCCACCCCGGGCTCTTGATTTAAACAGTAACTGAGAACTGTGAGGACAGGGTAAAGGCCAGGCTCGCGGAGAGCGAGGCCGAGCGCGCGTCCCTCACCGTCCTACACCTCGTACCCGCCTAAGTTTGCTCCTTGGATCAAGGAAGGTGCTGAGTTACCACTTCTCTGGGCTTTGTAACACCCCCACTCACCCCCCCCCCAATTCGCTGCAGGTTCACACGGTGTCCCGCCAGGGGGCTTCCCTGGAGCCCCTGCAGAGAATTGGGCCTCGGGATGTGACTTGGGACAACTTGGATCTAGGTTTGAACTGTGTGACCGGTGACACAGGCACGTGGACCACAAGTGTCCACCTTAGGGAGGGCTCGATGTGGCAGAAAACCGAGTTCTTCCACCCCACGTGCCTGAGGACCGACTCTCCTCTCACCCAGGCTGGTCTCCATACATGCTTCCATTCGGATTCCACACCACCACAGGGCCAGGGAACTGTCCGGAGAGGTCATCTTTCAATCCCCGCCACAACACCCCCTGCACCCCATTCCATTCTGGGTCTACTCAGAGGCCACAACTTGAGAAAGCCTTCCTCAAAGGTCCTAGATGGTCAAACCAAGGGATCTCTATTGTGCGCCACCTCTGCGAAAAGCTGCGGGGTTGGCTGTACGTCCCGTCTGGCCTGGGCTCTTCTGAGGGTTTCATTTCGATGCTGGTGCTCGAGTCCGTCGGTGGAGGGAACCCGTGAGACCTTGTAGGAAGCCCACGCTGGGAAGACACCTTTCAGAGGCAATTCCTCCCGTCTCCGGGGTGGGAAGCAGCGACGCCCAGTGTTGGGTTTCCTTCCCGTTTTCTGGGCCCTGGGCACAGTTGCCCCGACGGCATTCGTGAGTTCAGCTCAGTCCAGGCCGGGACCCTGCACCCTGGGAGTATGGGAGAGGCTCAAGTACCTTTCACAGAGAGCCCAGAGGCTTTTGGTTTCTGCAAACTCAGAATACAGAGTGAGAAGTAATAACTCCTGCTCTTCACTGATTCAGAACGCGAGCACGCGCTATCACCCCGCAACCCAGAAACGCTCAACACAGGCTGTCCGCACAGGACTGAAGCTTAGTTTTCTTCATATCTCTAGAGGTTCTTGAGAGCAGAAAACACAGTCAGGCTCTGGTAAGGCAAGAGCATGGTGGCACCCACACCGCTGGTAGGAAAATGGCAAAGCTAGGGCTCAAACTCCTCGATTCTGACTTCTGTGCCTGGCACAGCTTGAGAAAGGGTGGAGAAGCGCACAGGTGCAACTTCACTCGAATCCTCTCTCTCTGGACACGCTGGTAACAAACTAGGGACTTAGTGTTGGAGTGATTTGTTGTTAATCTATAAATTATGGGTAGAGAGGAGCAGCGTCTAGATTGTTGGAGGCTGAAACTGCCGCCTTCAAACAGCACCGGATACCGTCCACGTTCAATAAATATTCGTTGCCACTAAAACTTTGCGCTAAAACTTGGGGGCAAAATGGCACTACCAGGAAACTCATTTAGGGCACTGGAAAGGGGTGAAGGACATCAGGGGACTTAGAAGAAAAGCAGTTGAGCGAGGCCCCCTACTCAATATCCCATCCTGGCTCAGCTACACATCCCCGTAGCCGTCACATTAGCCTTCCGCGTGAGCTCCCTGATCTTGTCTCTCAAGTGACCCCAGAAGGAAAGAAGGGTTTGTCTGAGACCACGCAGTGTATGGCGCAGAGGCTAATGGCGCTCGCGGTTTTCTAGGGCTGGGCCTGCGCCTCCGCAGCTCCGGGATTCCGGGTGGAGCTGCAGCCAGCCAAGCACTGTGGTCGGGGATTACTGCAGTGTGGTATGGGGTCGCGCCAAGGGGCCCCGCGCTGGGCTCTACCCAGTCCACTCGCCATTGAGCCCCACTTCACCTGAGAGCAAGTGAGTTCCAGAAGAAAGGAAGATGCGTGGGTCACGAGAGGTGGGCTGAAGAGTTTTGAGGGCGACTTGCAGCCATAGAACAATCACTGTTTTGACCCAATCGACCCTATTCTGGATGAAGGGGGGGGCAGCAGAAAGAAAGGATGCCCTTCTCTTTAAAAGAGGTGTTGGGGTAGGGGGAGAAATTGTAGGGGCTTGGCTCTATCCTCCTACAGGGCGCCTGAGTCTTCAGCCTTATTCTTGGCAGTGTGGCAAGCCTGGAAAAGATGTCGGAGGGGTGGGTATTTATGAAGGAAGCAGGGCTAAGAGAGGGGCCTGGGTCTGACCACAGGGCACCGCCGCCGAGACCGCCTAGGTAGGGCAGGAGCTGGTGATCAGGGGAGAGATGGAAGCATAGCGCTAGTTTGGGGAACAGGTGAAACCGGGCCCCACCCTGGTTCCAGTTTTGCGTCCCCCCCCCCCACCCCCCCTTCCCGCTGTGTAGTTCGAATCCAGGTCCAGAGTGGCAACCCGGATTGTTCGCACTCTTGGAACTGGAGGCCCGGGAGTTGCCAGTCATGTGCGGCTGCCTGGGACCAAGGCCAACGCAGTGAGACCCAGGGGCTGTGGAAGATGCAAGTCTTCCCTCAGGTCCGGAAGAGCTAAAGAAGAGGAAAATATCGTCATGAAAATAACGACAGGAATCTCCCGTCTGACCGTGAATTCAATTTGTTTACAAGGCATGGAAGCATTTTGATATGCCTAATCTCGTTTGACTCTTGCAGAAAAACCTTGCGAAGAATGATCTCCATCTCTAAATAGTATTGAGGCTAGAGCGACCAAGGAACGACATTCTGCACTTGATGTTTCTTATGTCTAGCAGCAAGTGTGGTATAATGGAGAGGGTGAGAGAGAAAGGAGACGAGTGGCTTGGGAACCTATCCCGCCTTCGCAGGAACACTCCACTGGAGACGCAGCCTGGCCTGGTCGCGCTTGCACATAAGGTCTGCATTCAGCTTTGCCCGCTCTTTCTTAGCGTTCAGTTGAGCTCGGGGTCGCCTCCCCTCTCTACTCCCGGGATAGCACAATGGCCAAAGCGCAGTGGATAGGGTCAGCGTGCTTCCTGACAGCGCCCCCCACAGAAGTCCCCGGGAAAGGACACAGCCGCTCGTGGAAGCTCACCTGTCCTTCGCCACACAAGCACCTCTGCCCGCGTCTCAGCGCGCGCACGCAGGGCGGCCTGTTCCAACGCAGCCGGGGAAACGCCGGCCCAGAGGGGGACAGTGGGGAGTGTGTGCCCCGAGCTTTCCCTCTCCTCTGAAACCCAGGTAGATGTGGAGGAAAACGATGGTATCGAAGTTAGTTTGGTATCGAGCAAGTGCAAAGCACTCTTCAAGAAGAGGATTGAAACCGTACAAGGCAAATACACAGAACAACTTTCCCTTCTCTAATTGCTATTCGTTTTTAAGCCCATCCTTCTGGTTTAAATAGTTCAAAACGGCCCGTTTATTCCAGGGTACTACCTCACGACAAAGAAGGGGAGGGAGGGGAGTATGGAGACAAAAATCCAAACCAAGAAGCCTCCAAGACTGGCGGGCCCAGGGTGGTGGAGGCGCCTCCCGGCCCCGAGCGCTCGCTCCGCCCTCCCAGCCTCCCTGCGGCCTGTGGGGAAAGCCGAAACCGCCCCGGAGCAAGCAAAACAACCCCAGCGAACCACAACGAAAACATTCCCAATCCACGCACGCAAAAAGTCCTGGATGGTCTCAAAATCTGCCCCGCGCAGGACTCCGCAGAGAAGTCCGCTGGGCTACGGGGTCCCGGCCTGGTCACGGCTACGCGGCTGGCGCCCCCGGGCCCCGCTGGGGAGCGCAGCCCACAGCTCCCCCTCACCAGGCGCCCAAGGACCCTCAAGGAGCGGGGCTCACACTTGAAGCCTGGAAACGCGCAGACAGGAAGCCCACTTCCTCCTAAGCGGTTTCTTGCTCGCGGGATGAGAGGCGCCCAATTGAAGCAGAATGATCCTCATCTACTAATATCCAGCGTGGCCACAAAGCGACTGGCCATTTAGGCCGCCACTTTAAACAAAGATATTTGGTTATTCCCGGGGAAGCAAGTGCACTTTTGCATGGCTGAGCTGCGGGAGGAGGCGAGCCTTCGCCCAGCCTCCCGCCCGTGGGCTGCGGGGCGCTCGGGTACCGGCCCCTCCCGGCCAGCCCGTCCTGCCCCGGGTCAGGCTCAGGGCGGCGGGGCCGTGGGGCAGGCGGGTACAGGCAGTGTGAAGCATCAGAGAGGGGCAAACAGCGGGGCTCTGGGCTGGGGCTGGGGCAGTGATGCCCGGGGAAAGCTCTTGCCCCAGAAATCGCATGTGCGGGCAAATGGGCAGGGGTCGGAGACAGCAGGTTTGCTCCAGACAGGATGGCTGCAGCGATGGACTCTCATACTAATCACCCCCCCCCCACACACACACAAGCACACACACAAGCACACGTCCTTACTGCCGCTTAGCAGACTGAATGTGGTATCAGCCTGGGCCGGGGAAGGGGGTGGGGACAGGGAGCGTGGGGGTGTGGGGGTGTTGCGGGGAGGGGGGTACCTGGCCCGCTGAGAAGCCCAGATCTGACGCGGGAGGGGGCGCGGGGATCCGCGACAGCCTCCCCGCGGCAGTCCTTCCCTTCCTCAGCCTCCCCTCCGCCCGCTGGGAGTCTCTCTGGTAAGGGGAAAGGGGGCGGGGAGCAGAGGTGTCCCCTTCTGACGGCGGCGGCCGAGGAGGCAGACAGACGGACAGACTTCTAGACCAACAGTGCGGCCCCAGGGTTCCTCCCCAGCCTCGCCGGCACCGTTCGTGGCGACCCGGGGCTGGGCACCGGGAAGCCCCGATGTGGTCCGGAGGCGGTGGGAAGGCGCGGGGCTGGGAGGCCTCGGCGGGAGGGAGGAGCAGCCCCAGCAGGCTCAGGTGAACCCCCTCCCCGGCCCCATCCCTTCGGCTCCCTCTTCCTAAAAGACCGGTCCTAGCCCGGGGATCCCCCGACTGAATGGCACAGAGGTTCCACTTTGTAACTCCTCAAGTTGGCTGCAAAGCAGCGCGCACCTTCTTCCCTCCACCCCATCCCTCCCCGGCTACTCTTCACCCCACCTCCGGCCCTCCCTGCTATCGGTTCCCTCCTCCTTCCCCTCCCCTGCCTCCTCCTCCCCGCGCGCCAACGGCACCCCACAAAAATGGGGGTGGGGGGTGTCCAGGAAAGGGGGAAAGCAATGCTTTTGGGTCTCTCTCTCTCTCTCTCTCTTTCTCTCTCTCTCTCTCTCCTCCCTCTCTGAGACCTAAAAATCCTGACAAGTGAAACTTAAAGGTGTTTACCTTGTCATCAGCATGTAAGCTAATTATCTCGGGCAAGATGTAGGCTTCTATTGTCTTGTTGCTTTAGCGCTTATGCCCCGCCTCTGGTGGCTGCCTAAAACCTGGCGCCGGGCTAAAACAAACGCGAGCCCCCGAGCCTCCACTCAAGCCAATTAAGGCGGACTCGGTCCACTCCGTTACGTGTACATCCAACAAGATCGGCGTTAAGGTAACACCAGAATATTTGGCAAAGGGAGAGGAAAAAAAAAAAGTAGCGAGGCTTCGCCTTCCCCCTCTCCTTTTTTTTTTTTTTTCCTCCTCTTCCTTCCTCCTCCAGCCGCCGCCGAATCATGTCGATGAGTCCAAAGCACACGACTCCGTTCTCAGTGTCTGACATCTTGAGTCCCCTGGAGGAAAGCTACAAGAAAGTGGGCATGGAGGGCGGCGGCCTCGGGGCTCCGCTGGCGGCGTACAGGCAAGGCCAGGCGGCGCCGCCGGCCGCGGCCATGCAGCAGCACGCCGTGGGGCACCACGGCGCAGTCACCGCCGCCTACCACATGACGGCGGCGGGGGTGCCCCAGCTCTCGCACTCCGCCGTGGGGGGCTACTGCAACGGCAACCTGGGCAACATGAGCGAGCTACCACCCTACCAGGACACCATGAGAAACAGCGCTTCGGGCCCCGGATGGTACGGCGCCAACCCAGACCCGCGCTTCCCCGCCAGTAAGTCACGCCGCCCCCACTGCGGGGCCGCGGGTTCGGCACCCGAGGCTCGGTCCGTACCGCCGGGGCTGCGCGCTAGGCATCGGGGTGGGCACCCGGGCCAGCGGCGCCTGGGGAGTTGGGTGCGGGCGTTGGGGATGCTGCCTCCGGCTGGGTTAGGGCATCCCGGAAGAAGCACTTGGTAGCGCGGGGTCTTGAGGTCAGGGGCCGACGGGACCTGGCATCTCCAGGCGCGGCCGACGGTGAATGAACTCTGCTCCACACGGCCGAAGACCTCGGACAACCGAGGGAGGCCACCGCACCCCCCCCCACCCCCAACTAGCGCGGGGAACGGCCAGGCCTGGTCCCAGGTTAGAACGCAGTCAGGCGACGGTGGGCCTGGACTGGAGTCCGGGACAGAGGGGAGGGCGCCCGGCTCCGGAGGGGGCCGAGTCCTGGTGCCAAACAGGTGCACTCAGTGGGGCCAGCAGGAGAGAAACCAAGGCACTGTATAGCCTTGGAGGCTGGAGTTTTCAGACGTGAACACCTTCCTCCCCGAACCTCCCAAAGTTAGGGTCTACCGTCGGAACCCCAACTCCCGACCCGAGCTCAGTTCTCCGCCTGTGGCCGGCTAACTCCAATGCCTCTGGGCCCCGCCTTGGGCCGGAAAAGACCAGGAGTGGCCTTTCTCCCACTGCGATTTCGGGGGTCCAAAGAGGGTGTTGAAACTTTGGGGGGTGGGGTGGGCAGGGTTGAAGCGAAGAGCCCTCCAGTACATTCCTCGGCAGCTGGGCCGGGACGGGCGCTAGCAATCCCCAGTAGCAGGGCCTCGGGATGCAGGGTGCCGTCGGGGGAGGGCCGGGCGGGCCTAGGGCTCCAAGGCTGGGCTGGCCTGGCCCGGCTCCGGCCCGACGCTGTGCGTTTGTCGCTTACAGTCTCCCGATTCATGGGCCCGGCGAGCGGCATGAACATGAGCGGCATGGGCGGCCTGGGCTCGCTGGGGGACGTGAGCAAGAACATGACCCCGCTGCCCAGCGCGCCGCGCCGGAAGCGCCGGGTGCTCTTCTCCCAGGCACAGGTGTATGAGCTGGAGCGACGCTTCAAGCAACAGAAGTACCTGTCGGCACCGGAACGCGAGCACCTGGCCAGCATGATCCACCTGACCCCCACGCAGGTCAAGATCTGGTTCCAGAATCACCGCTACAAAATGAAACGCCAAGCCAAGGACAAGGCGGCCCAGCAGCAACTGCAACAGGACAGCGGCGGCGGCGGCGGCGGGGGAGGCGGGGGCGCCGGCTGCCCGCAGCAGCAACAGGCTCAGCAGCAATCGCCACGCCGCGTGGCGGTGCCGGTCCTGGTGAAAGACGGCAAACCGTGCCAGGCGGGCGCCTCCGCTCCTGGGGCGGCCACCCTACAAGGCCACGCGCAGCAGCAGGCGCAGCAGCAGGCGCAGGCTGCTCAGGCGGCGGCCGCGGCGATCTCGGTGGGCAGCGGTGGCGCCGGCTTGGGCGCGCACCCGGGTCACCAGCCTGGCAGCGCAGGCCAATCTCCGGACCTGGCGCACCACGCCGCCAGCCCCGCGGCGCTGCAGGGCCAGGTCTCCAGCCTGTCCCACCTGAACTCCTCGGGCTCGGACTATGGCACCATGTCCTGCTCCACCTTGCTATATGGTCGGACCTGGTGAGAAGACATGGTGTAGCCCCTAGCCCAGCGCATTGCTCACCGGCTTCCTTCCATCCGCCACAGACCACCATCCACCCGCTGCTCCACGCGCTTCGAGTCCCCCTCCTTATCCATAAGAACCTATCCTCGATTAAATCAAGGAAAAAAAAAATACACACAAAGGCCAAACTGCTGGAAATCTTTTCTTTTTTTTTTTTCTCCCTATCTAAAATTTGTGGATTTTTTTTTTTTTTTTAGAAAAGAGTAAAAGGAAATAAAAACAGCCAAACAAATTCAATTCCTTTTGGAGTCTTTAAACAGTGAAGGACATAGAAAGAACAGCTTTAGGGGTGTCTTTCGGCGGTGATTCTAATGGGTTTGCACGCTGGGGTGTGTGTGCAGTTTGGGAAGGGCTTTATGCTATCTTGGCTTTGGACTTTAACCATCTCAAACTTCACTCTGGTCCACTCTGCCAGCAGCAGAGTGGACTCACTTGTAAATACCACGATTTTTTTTTTTTAAGAAAAGAGGATGGGAGCCAGGGAGAGGAAAGATTCTTCGACATAACCCACGAGTCCCTGTCACAAAGGACATGCCCCCTTCTAGGCTCCCTCTGGCCATAAGGGTAGCCTGGAATGTCCCCTCAGAAAAATTGTTTTATGTTTGATGTGAACTTGTAGCTGTAAAGCGCTGTCAAAAGTTGAACTAAACGCCTAGTTTTTAGCAATTTGTACATTTTATTGTAAAAAGAAACCCACACCCTGTCCCCTGCCCCTCACATTTTTTTTTAAAAAATGGGCATTGACAAATCTGTGTATATTATTTGGCAGTTTGGTATTTGCAGCATCAGTCTTTTTTTTTCTGTTGTAACTTATGTAGATATTTGGCTTAAATATAGTTCTTAAGAAGCTTCTAATAAATTATACAAATTAAAAAGATTCTTTTTCTGATTAAAAAAAACCTTTCTTTTGGTTTGGTTTTTGATTTGGCTTTAAATGGCTGCCCCACTCCACCTGGGAGGGTTCCTCATTGCCTGGTGGGGTTGGAATTGTTTGGGGTTTAGTTGGTAGGCTCAGGAGGCCAGGCTCAGAGGAAGCAGAAATTGTATTCTGCCGGTAGTTCAGTGGAACCAAATTATGAACAGTTCTGGAAATCGGCAACCGAAAAGAGAAAAGACTAAACAACTTCTGTGAGGAGAGAGAAGGAAAGAGGAAGGAAAAACACCTTTTCATAGAATCCATTTTTTAGAGCCAGGCTTCTGTGTTTAGAGATCTCAAAAACTGGTCTTCTAGGGCTGAGCCAAGTTTTAAAACAGTGAACTAGGACATCTCATTTAAAATAACCAAGTAAGTTGCTGTATTTCAGTGAAGATCATTTCTATAAATTTGAACAGCAAACTTATATTTCTAGTTTCTAGCCAAGAGTACTCCCAATTAGAATGGAGCAAGGGGGAAGGGTTGTCTTCAAAAGCAAAGTTGTTCTGGGTTTTAGTTTTGCTCTAAACTAGCCATTCCTGCTCTAAGATCAGCAGCCCTCACCTCTACCCCAGATGTGGCTTCTCAGTCCTCCGTCAGTGTGGGACTGGGTGCTGGGAATGGCTCCAGCAGGACTTTACAAGTAGAGGTTTCACTTTTTATTCCAGCATCTTCTTCCACTTGTGTGTTTCTAAATCTTTACAAGAAAAAGCTATTTTTTTTTCCTGCTTACTACTCTATCTCTCCTCTTCCCAGGAAAGGAAATGGTTTTAAACTCTTTTCTTCAATTTCTAATTTTCTAATTTCTTGGATATATATGTTGGAGAACTATTAAGATTGTGGTGGGAGGCAGGTGGTGATTGTGGATAGGGATAAAAATTATAGTTGTCCCTTCTCTATCGTCTTTGATAAACCCACAAGTCAATGGAAGTCCAGTGGGTTGCCTAGAGCTTTCCCTCTAGATCAGGAAGTGTTATGGGAATTGCTTTATATTTGGTATGTGCCCACTTCTTCCATCATTTCCAACTTTCTTTTAGCTTTTTCTGACCTTCTCTCTTCTTCCAGTTCATCCTGTCTTCAACTTCCTTTACCCAGATGTCCCAGCACCCCTACCCTTAGGACCTTGTTAGGGAAGTAGAATGTTACTAGCCGTTGCCTCCAACCTAGCAGTCTTTTTTCCTTGATTTTCAGAGGGACTCTTACCCTGTGGTGCCTGAGGACTCCAAGCTAGCACCAGGAAGGCCTCTCTCCCTCAGAACTCTCCAATGTGGCTACTGAGCTAAGGTTTTCAATATCCAGAAAAGACTTGAATATTGCAAAAGTGTAGGTGGGCTGGGTTCTAGGGAGTGTGCTGCAGGGGGAGGGAGGGGGAAGCTCATCAGGCCTTCTATTTTGTAAAGAAAAGCAGAAAGTTTGTCTCTAGATTGGGAGTCAGGAATGTTGATGAGCAGAATCCCAGGGCTAAGCCCGGGGTCTGGCCGGGGAGATGAGGGCAGGTGGCTGGCCTGGGGACGTGACTAGTACATCTGCTATTTGGTTTAGAGATGGGACCTTTGTTCAGACAGCCCACTTCCTAGCACAAACCTGGACTGGACAGGGCAGAGAGTGCGGCTTGCGGCCTGGCGCTGTCACCTTGTCTGGCAGTCACTTTTTTTTTTTAAGTGTAGTGTGATGCTGAGCTCTCTGTCTTGTCACTTTTGTACCGGTAGAGTCCTATCAAATACACTCTTCTCCCGGCCAGTTTCGTTTGATGTCTGTTTACTTGTCCCGAGTAAAGGTGAATTTGGCCGGGTCTGCAGTTGGGGGCGAGAGACTAACAAGGCCAGGCCGCTGCTTGCCACCAATCAATCACTCAGGCTCCGCGAGGCTCCCGCTCCGTGCTTGGGGGACTTGTCGCCTGCAGGAAGACCCTTGGAATGCAGTCTGAAGCGTCTCTTGGAAGGAAATAGGTGCTGGGCTCAGCACAAGGGTTCTGAAACTTGGGAGCGCCCTGCACACACGGCCCTTGGCAACCTCTGGGAAGCCAGCGGTCATCCTTTCCGCGGAGTCTCTAATGTTAGGTCTCCAGCATCCCGGACCTTGGTGGGACCTGACTTCCCAGGAGGAGAAATAGGGATGCCTCTGGAAGTGAGGTGCTAGAAGAATTACCCCCACGTGAGGGAGCAGAACAGTTCATCCCGAGGTCCCCCCGAAGAAACTTGGCCCCCTCCAAACCTCGGCCCCCGTGAGCTGGAGAGAATTTTCAGGCAGCATCCCCCACACCTTTTCTTCTCTCCCCCACCCCCACCCCGCCGTGTAAACACGAGGACTTTCTCGAGAGCCCTGGAGAGTCACTCTAGTGGCTTCGGGGCCTGAAACCCCAGGCTTGGCTTGTTTGATGTTTAGCATCCCAAAGCGGCTCCCCACCCCCGCCCCAGCCTGGGAACCCCCAAGCTACGGGGCCAGAGACTGAGGAAAGAAGCTCAGCTGGCGGAGCGGTGGACTGGGCCTGGCTGGGGCGGGGAGGGAGGCGACAGAGATGCCCAGAGCAGGAGAGGAAGGGTCCCCAGGTTACTGCCGCCACCAACAGGGACACAAGCTGGAGTTTTCTTCGGGGCCGCGCCACGAGACCCGTGCGGAAAAGAAACGGTCCGGCAGCCCTGGACAGCGGTTCGGGACAAGGGCGGGCCGAGTGGAAGTGGGGCCCGAGAGAAACATCCAAGTTCGATCGGGGCCACTGGGCGAGAGTCGCTCCGGGCATCACTTCTGGGGATCCAGGAGACCTCCCCCCTCCTCCCAGCTCGCTTCACCCCGAGGGCCTGGCAGGAGACAGAGCTCCCTGCTGCCAGCTTTTTGCCTTGGATAGGGAAAGACTTGCTTGGGAGCTTTCCAAGAGATTTCAAGTCTTCCAGAGCCGGGGCTAGGGTAGCTCCGGGGAAAGTGTTTGGATCTGGCCTTGTAGTCTTTGATTTGGAGACCCCCAGGAAGAACTCTCAGACTTTAGAGGCCGCGCACCCCTCCAGCGCGCGCTCCCGGCGTCTGGGCGCCGCGTTGGGGCTATCTCCAAGTCGCAAGTGCACAAAAGGTAGCGCGAGTCTCTTCTCAGGCGATCCGAGATAAGAGGAAATGAGAGCGAGGTTCTCTGACTTCCACCTCATTAGGGACCAGGTAAGGTCAATGCTTTCTCTATTATGTCTTTATCTTAAAAGCGGGTCAATTTGAGATAAGGGAGAAAAAAAAAAAGGATCCAGGATCTGTGTGAACTGTGTTGATAAAGACTGACCCCTTTTCCTGAACTAAAGCCAGCCAGGCAGACATTCATTTTCTATAAACAAGAGAGTGGTGAGGAGCTGCCTGGAATTCTGATCGGTTGTCTCCCGTCTCTCCAGGCAGAGCTCTCTCACCCCACCCCCACCCCACCCCAATTATGAAACTGAAGCGGAGTGAGCAGGCAGTTTTATTTGTGGAAAACTAAGAAGCCCATTGGGAAATGTGAATCTGAGGTGGTCTGGTTCTTGGGTGGTTGACTGACTTGTTTATTTCAAAAGCTGCTTGCATTCCTTGCAAATGGAAGTGACAGGAGGGGACTAGAAGGGTTGAGACCTAATGTTTTCTGTGCTTAAACAGAGCCGGGTTAGGAGATGGTAGACACTTCTTTCCTTCCACCTCATCCTGGACCACAGATGGCCATCTCTGCCATGCCGGTAGCTTTGTGTTTTCCTATGCAGTAGTGTGCTTGGGGCTATAGGCCACCCCATGGGGGGGGGGGACCAATTTGGGAACCTGCCTCAATTTGGTGGAGCATAGTAAGTGTTCTGGTGTTTCTTCAGTGAGTGACCTCTCCTGCCAGCTTGTGTACCTAAGTGGCTGGAGGAATGCGTTTGTGGATGTGTGTACTTTATGAGAATCAAGGACCACATGAATCCCCCACCCCCACCCCCACAGGGTTCTGTATCTGAACTTTACTTGGATGAGTCTTAAAGGAATGAAAGAAGAGACTCAATAACTTGACAGTACAGCTTCTGCCTAATCTGAAACTATAGCTGAAGCGATGGGCTGCACTTGCTTC